GAATACCCCCTCTATCTGAAAATATGTGAATCTTAACTTTCTGATTAAAAAAGTATGTGACTTTAAATTCTTTGGTGTTTAAAAGAATATGTTTTCCTTTGGCAGGAGCTTATTATTAACATTAACAAATAATAAAAACACACAAAACATGTCACTTCTCACCAAGATGACATTCAAAGTTGTTCCCCTGGCAAAAAAAAAAAAAAAAAAAAGAAAGAAAGAAAGAAAGAAAAGAAAAGGAAAGGAAAGGAAAGGAAAGGAAAGGAAAGGAAAGGAAACTGGTAAACTACACTTTTGTTTAGGGATCCCCAGCTCTCTCTCTCTCTCAGATTCCTCACATCTCATAGAGGCATTTTATTGACGGTGCAATGTTATACACGTAGGAAATGGATGCATATGTACCTAGGGTATTTTTTTTTCCGTTTGTTTTCTCTTCCAGCATTTGATCACTGGCTGGTGAACTGTTTGGGCCCACAGAGATCTCTAGACCACCAGCTCATGTATTTGAAAGGCATCTGTTTATTTTGAAAATGCAAATGTGGCCTACCTCAAAGACTGACAGGCAAGAAATGACCCACTGAGCAAGGGGAGAGGTTTCCAATCTGGAGCCCTGTCCCTCCCTCTATCAAACCGAGATCACTCACTGTCAAAACCACTTAAACAAGCTCCAGGAATCTGAGTGAAGGGCCCACAATTAAAATGAACAGGACTGTGTGTGTGTATCTCCTTCCCTCTCTCTTTCAGGAATTAGCCAGGCAGATCATTTCTCACTCAGTTTAAAGTAATGATGAGGTCAGTTACAAAAGGACTCTGCATCTTTGAAATAGTGGCTCCTGAACCATGGGCTGCCTGGAGGAGGGCCCTATAATAGGGACACTGGCCTCTTAGCAGCCGCAGCCCAGTCCTGGGGATGGGTTCCTGGAAAAGACCAGGAAGGTTAATACGCCGACTTTGATCTCTGTCAAGGCATACCAGCAAGAATTAATTTACATTTCAGATGAAAAAGGTTGACAGCATGAAAAGGCATCTTGTTTCTGGTATGTGAACGTGCTGTAATAGATCGGGAATTCTGAAAGGAAGTTCTGAGGAAGCTAAAGGGATAAGCTGTGCGGCTGCTTTTATTGGGAAGGAGATGAAAGGAAAACAAATTTCAATATGCACTGCTCTGTAGCAACATGTAGGCCAAATGCTTCCTAAATTTCAAGGGCTGCTCTTTTAAAAATATATAACATATCTTAGCAACACCACAAAAAAAAAAAAAAAAAGGCTATGGGCCAGAACTCGAAATACAAAGAAATGCATTCCACAGAATCTAAATTTCAAGTGAAATGATTTGTTGAAAAAAAAAATTAGAGAGTAAATCTTGAAAATAATCATAAATGGTTGTGCTATGCTAATGAACGTCCCTAAGCCACTTCCTGCAGGTTTCACAAGTAAGGGAACTGCTGGGTCTGGGGCTTGTTCTACTTGGAAACATCCTAGTGGTGTGAAGAAGAGCTTGTAATGAGAAGATTATGCTTTGGGAAAAGCACACCCCAAAACAGAGAAGTTGGAATGAGATGCTTTGCTTTTTAGATAAACACAACCATGCCTTCCAATATAAAAATAAGGAAAACATTCTCAAGTCAAAGTAAACTGTCCATAAAATTGTAAATGGTGTTACCTTATCCAGGCATCTTTTCTGTTAACACAAAGCCAGCACCTCAATTCCTGTCCATGGTGTTAGCTGAAGGGCAGAGAGACTCTGCTTTTGCTCTGGCTGCCACACTACTTCCAAGAGGGAGAGGTGGCATTAGTACCACCCTCAATGTCCTCATGTCTGCCCAAGCCCCTGTAGACTCGATTAATGGAAGTTCCCAATGCCACTTGATAAGTAGGAACATTAGCTGCCAAGCTTAAAAAAAGAGGCGGAGGGGAGGTGGTGCTTGCAAAGCTTAAAAAAAAAGAAGCACCTTGAAGATACGTGTTCTCTCCTCCAGTTCCACAAAACAAAATTGTCCTTCCGTGGTACCTACCACATAGGTGCTCTACCTAAAAGATGCAATCATGACTGGCCTGATAGGATGATGAAGCAAACCTGTCTCTGTTTTCATGCAGCCCTCATTTGGCAATAACAGAGTGCAAAGAGGGAGCCCTCTAAAGATCATTTTCAGAGACAGAAAATATGATTTATGATCCTACACACTGGACTCAGTGGATCAACAATATATAACCCAAAGTTTGTATTTTAAAACATATGTTGGGCTTTGAGCCAAACTGCAAGATTAGAAATCAGACTGGGAGGGGCGGGGGCTTTGCATGCATGTGCTGTGTGCTGTGGTGTGTGGAGGTGGGCAAGTAGGGAACAAATGCACTTTGAGTTATCTTCCTTAAGCTGCAACTAGAATTGGACCCCTCTTCCAATGAACTCTTTGAAGTTGTAGAGCTCAAAATTCCTAGGGGGTGGTGTTAAAACTTGCACATTTGCATCTAAATGACATCCCTTTCTTCCAAATATTTTGGTTCTGAATGAAGATGTCAGGTCTCTAAGCGGCTGGTGAAGAGAGTTCTGAGAGGCTTTCCTGGAGCCAGGTTCTGGGCAGGGACCGCCTCAAAAAAGTTGCAGCTGTTATATTTAAGAGTTTGCCGCAAGGCAGTAGTATCTGAAACCCTATCCTTCTTTGGGCTTGTGGAGTCCAAGAGACTAGCTCCTGCTCTCTCATTCTGTCTCCACTTTTTTACATTCTCAGAGCTCCAGGCATGCTCTGGGGCTTACTTCTTCCAGGCCCTCAATTAGGCACATACGGCTTCAAATGATGAAGGGAACCCAGCTGGGCAGCCACCGTGAATACTGCCATTTGCAGAAGAGCAGAGCCACCCAGAAGCTAAGGACAGGTCCGATGAGGCAAAAACCAGAGCTCTCAGCACTCAGGCGGCCAGGCCCAAGCTGAGCCACAACACAGGGTAACCCCATGAGGCACAGAGGAGCACCTTAGCCACCTACAGCCCAGGGTGTGGGAAATTCCATTTGCTGGGAAAGTCCCTGAGCTATTCTTATCTCTGTGATGCTCAAAGATGGGTTTTGCATCTGATCAGAGAATTCCAAGGTTACTAAACACCTTCCCACGTAACTAGAGTTGAGCATGTGCTCTCGTTTCACAAATGACAGATTTGTGACTCCAAGAAGGAAAGAAATTTGTTCAGTTGGGAGTAATGAAGTTGACTTTATCCAAACTGCCTGTATTCACATGCTGACTCTGCTACTGACCAGCTGTGTGACTGTGGACAACCTATTGCACTTCTCTGGGTAAGTTGAAATATCTAGTATCATATTGATTTTTGATGTGCTCTTACTGAGTGAAGAAGTTCTATTTTTGGGCCTATGCAGCTAAGGAGATAGGGATTGAAGGTGGTGATGTGTATGGGGGTGTGCTATGTTGAATGATACGTGTTACCAACTTAGTGTTCAGAGGATAAGAGTTGGAAGGGCTTCCTGTATTTATGTACCATCTAAGAGTGATATAATCTGTTGTATCGACTTAGATAAGAATTGTGTACTTGGGGAGGAGGTGGTTTTGGTTGGGGGGGTTGGTCAGGCAGTGTCTGTGGTTCCGACATGTTAAGATAGAAGGATGAGGGGAGGTGGGGAGGTTTGGGCGGTAATTGCTTGGTGTTGAAGAAGATGGAGTTTTGTGTTTTTATGGGAGATGGTTGGTATGGTCTGGGTGGTTAGGGGAATGGGTTGGGTGTGTGAGGGGGAACAGAGTTGAGTGGAAAAAGAGGGGTAAAGAAGTGAGTGCATATCCATGAACAAAATAAGCAGAGATACGTGAGCGATGGTGGGGAACAAGAGGCCTCTCTGTACTTAGCTGGGCCTCCAAGATGCTTCTGAGAAGGAATTATTTTTGTTCTGGCAGTGAGTTTCCAGAACACTCTGGATTCTACTTATGAATCACTGGGGACCTCTATCCCAGGTGAGACAGTTCCCTGTTATCCCAATCCCTGGAGGAAGCTGTGGTTCAGGACTTGGGAGCAGGGTGGTTTGGTAGGAAAGAACTGGCATAGCCTGACATGTTCAAATTTTTTTTTTAATTTGGGAGGAAGATATGAACCTGGAATTTGAAGGAGTGAAAAAATAAAGAAGGGAGTCAAAGGAAATAATTAGTATCACAACACCTGCATTTGGTGAGAGTGAACCATGTGCCAAAAACTGTGCTTTGGGAGAAGAAAATATGCAACACTAAGGCTAAAGGCAAGGAAAATGGATGAGAAGAGAAAGAGAAATCTCTGGGGGTGTTCTGAGTCTTACAGATAGAGGACTGGGGCATTAAGCTGCCCACTAGGAGCATGATCACATCACCTTTTCTCCCTCCCATTAGCATCACAGCTCTCCCTGTTGCTGAATATGGTCATGAAGTCCAGACAATATGGGTTATGAGAACACAAAGGAAATAGTCCACTATGTTCAAGATCTGATGCTTTCACAACCACTCAACAATGGCATAGAACTCAGGTGCTGTTTGTAATATAAATGACACACACACATACAGAGACACTGAATGGGCTGGGCATATATGAGAGAGCCTGGTGATTTGTTCCCTTGGTTTATAAGCTCTCTCTGTGCTAGAAAAGCCTTTGGGAAATAGCATTAGTCATTCTGATGCTGAGAACTTGGTAACAGGCCTGGGGTGTGTATTATATCAGTCATCTGGGAAAAAGGATGCAGGTCTGTGTGATTTGGGTTTTACCTCTACTCGCTTCACACTACCTCTACCTTGCCACTCATCACACTGTGTTGTGACAGCTTGTTTGCTTATGTGAAAATCAGAGGGACTATGGTAGTCTTACTCATGGCTTTATTCCCAGCATCTAGCACACAGGGCCTGCAACCGGCACTCAATAGATATTTGCTGGAGCAAGGAAGAAAGGTAGGAAGAAGAGAGGAAGGGTAGGAAGAAGAGAAGAAGCCACTGAGAAAAGCCCCAGTACTTGAGGAAATGCCAAGATTCAGGAGCACTTACCTGACTGGACGGCAATAGCCGCCTTCTCTCTCTTCTCTCTGATTCTTTTGTATCTCCTGGCTGCAAGCCACCCCTTGGCATATGCCTGCAGCACAACCACTCTGCCTATGACTTCTTGCAGCAGCAAATTTAACTGCTCAACATGGTAATATTTGAGAAAAACCTGAAATGACATATTAGTTTTAGCATTACATATGGGCTCCCAAACAGATTCAGTCTACTCCAGAGTGTTCTTAATAAAAATATTAAAACCACTATCTACATAAAGTTTACAGTGACTTCTTTTATGCTAACATTACTGACTTCCTGGGAGCAAACACAATACCTCTTTTCTAAGGTTGAGCCAATCCTTGATTATTGATATAAACAGATGGTGAGGTTAATGGAATTTAGGAGATCCCAAATGTTCTCCAAGCCTGCTTTATATCTGCCAGGAGGTCTATTTTCTCAATTGGATTTCTACTGTCTATCTCCACAGCCTCTAATGGAAGCACTAACCAACAGAATTGATCCATAGCCAGCAGTGGAAGTTTGGAAGGAGCACAACCAAATGACCCACCGTGATCTAATTCCTGCTGAGGAACAATGGTGTGGCCACAACACTCAAGGCTAAGACTGGCTTTGTACAGCAATTCAGAATGGATAATAAAAACCTGGGATGCAGGATGAGATGTTCCCTAAATGAAAAGCTATACACAATGAGGCTACTAGCTAGTCAGGGTACACAGTAAAACAACATGAGTCTAATGAAAAATGGACAAAACTGTAAAAAATACTCATTATTGTCATTAATAAGATTTGTGAATCTCCATGAGATGCTGGAATAAGCAACATTTTAAAAAGGACATTTTTAATTTTTGTTATTTTTTTAAAAAGGGACCTTTAAAATAAGCTCAAAGTTCTCATTCTAGAAATGCTAAATGGTTCTCTCACTCTACATGCAGAACAGGAGGCAAACACTCCCCTTCTTGTCCAGAGGTTCTAGGACTCCTGACCCAACACCCTCAAAGATCATTGTTAGGTTGGGGTGTCGTCTGCTAAGCTACACAACTTACAAAGCCATTCATATCACTGACAAGAGACAAACATACACAGAAGAGCATCATGGGTGACAACCTGAACAAAAAAGAAAGAACTACCTTTGTTTTTCCCAGCACCCAGTGATCTAATCTGCATTTTTCCAAGATAGCAACACAGCTCTCTTTGCTAGCAAAAGGTGTTTCATGTGCTTTGAATGCCAAGTAATAATACCTATAAAATAAAAGAGCAAAATGAAACATTTTTAGTTATCATTTGATTCAGTATAGTAGATATGCTCTGGACCCACTGTGATGCCTTGTTTTTTAATAGTAAATATTTCTTGAGCACTAATATTAGCACACTAGGTAGTGAAAGGTATATAATTTATGCTTCTTAACTTGGCTCTTATATTTTCTGCTATGAGTATTTCCCTTTTAATACTGCTTATAATTCATGTTCATGAATACTTGGTGTCTTTTGCATGTAAAATCAAAGAACCTAATCCTTTAATAAAACTGAAATTTAGACAGTTTAAATTTAGAATTCTAGTGAAAGTCATCATTTTATTTTAGCATTATTACAAAATAATTTGTAATCCCATGGTATAAATTTTGACTGTGCTTTGAAAAGTCCCCTCTGAAGCAATCTGTAGATAGCAAAAGTGATCATAGCCTAATACTACTGAATCAGTCTGCTGAGCTACATGTCCATCTCGAGGTACAGAGTGGGTATTTTTTTTAAATTTTTATTTATTTATATATTGCAGGGGGCAGGGAACAGAGGGAGAGGGACAGACTCTGCATTGAGCGTGGAGCCAGATGAGGGCTCCTGAGATCATGACTAGAGCTGAAACCAAGAGTCAGACATTTAACCAACTGAGCTACCCAGGTGTCCTTGAAGTAGGTATATTTTTTGATGTCATCACCAAAAACACATTTGTCTTCCCAAATTACTCATTTTAATGAACTTCCATACTTCTGGATAAATTCAAAAAATACCACAAAGAGTTTTTTCCCTCTCCTTTTCTTTATTCTCCCTATTAAAACACACACACACAGTGGTACATACAGTCTTTATAGAACAGATACTTTACCTTAGTTTTTCTTGAAAAAACTTTCAAGGATCTTTTCTCTGCTCTTTGCTGCCATCTATAATTAAACTCAACCCCTTGAAGTTTAAAAGTAAACTTCATTTCCTTGTCAAAGGCTTTTCCTGCCATTCCTCAGACAAGGCTGATCTGTTATTTTGGAATTACTGTACTTTTAAGTATAGAGCTGTTTTGTTTTTTTTTAATCACCTAAATACAAAATATGACCCTTTTACTTGCCAAATATTCCCATATCTTTCTGTTTATGGAAAAAATAAACATAGTTGATTAGCACTTTGGTCATTTATCTTTGTGCTACAAGACTGTTTTACAAGTTAGGATATAATGCTGAATTTGCTAGAAACATTTGCATTCAGAGATCTTGGGGAATGTTTCCAAGGCTTTGAATCTCTGTTTCCACCATCGAGGAGAAGAAGTAGTGCTCTCATAGAACCCTGAATGGTGGCCAGGACCATGCTAGGTCATTTGGCCAAACCCAGGAATCTGTTCACAGAAGATACCTACTGGAGCTAGGCAGGAGGAGGGACAGCTGGGAGTCAGGCGTAGTCCTATCTGGGCAGTTCATGGCATTCTCACAGATTCTTCAATCTCACTTTTTTCAGGACTGTACTTTCAGTTGTGGTTTCTCTGATCTGGCTCTAGCTGAAGTAAAAAGATTGTGTTCTGGAGTTTATGGGGATGGTGGGAATGGATGGCAAATCTATATAGGTGAATGTTTTGGGAAAGCTGAAGTACAGGTAAGCTTAGGTATAAAAGTCAGAGGTAAAACCAGGATTTCTACATTCTTTCCATTAGGACTAGTCATTTATAGCATGAGCTCCCTTAGCTTTAATCAGTTCGGACTTGATACTAGTGATGATGAAGTATTTAAAGAGAATGTAATGAATGACCAGTCCTGTGCAAGATATAAAATGAATGAAAGATATATTCCAGCTCTTCAAACAAGGATTTCTACTTGTTTTCTAGGCGTCTATAGATGGTTCCTAGCAATCTTATTTTCTAAATAGGCAGAATGAGGGTCACCTGGGTGGCTCAGCAGTTGAGCATCTGCCTTCGGCTTGGGGCATGATACAGGGTCCAGGGATCGAGTCCCACATCAGGCTCCCTATGAGGAGCCTGACTTCTCCCTCTGCCTATGTCTCTGCCTCTCTCTCTCCCTCTGTGTCTCTCATGAATAAATAAAATCTTAATAAAAGATAGGCAGAATGAATTAAGAACTAACATAAATATTAAAACTCAACTTTGATACCTGGTCCTTCAACCCAAATCTCTTAATTTATTATAATATTCACATTTGGTTTAGTTTAGAAAGTGACGGGTAACAATCCTGCAAAGAAGTAAAGGTTTTAAAAAGTACTGAAGAAACATATAAGTGATATGTCTGTAGTAATCAGGTCAGATAAGTATAATGGATTTCCCTCATAGAGTAGTTTTGAATTCTGGAAGGTACCATGGTTTAAAAAAAAAAAAGTACTTTGATTGAGCTCCTGTGTGCTTCAATATAAGGGCAAAACTGACAGGAAACAAGACAAAAGATCTAGCAGCAAGAGGGGTCTTTTGAGGAAGATCTATTTCACACCCACTTCTGAAGCAGTTTGATGAATTAAATGAGGAGATATGCAATAGCGTATCTTGTTAAAGGTCCTGAGGGTCTAGGCACTTAAAAGCATTGCAAAGACCAGGCCCTGAGATGCCTCTTGTAGGTAGAACTGATGCCTCAGATTGGAGCCTGAACACTGAGTTAAGAGTGAGAGGCTCTTTGTTGGGTAATCCTAAATCACTTACCTCTCTGAACCTGAATTCCCAGAGATGGGAATGGAAACTAGATAAGTAGTTCTAAACTCTTCTAGGGGGGCAGGGGCAGGGAAGAATTTCTGATAACCTGGTAAAAAGAATCCATATTCTTTCTTAGGAAAATGTTCTTTTTCAAAAGATTTTATTTATTTATGAGAGAGAGAGAGAGAGAGAGAGTAGGAGCATGAGCAAAGGGTGAGGCAGAGAGAGAAGCAGACTCCTTGCTGAGCAGGGAGTCTAATGCAGACTCTGATCTGAGCCAAAGGCAGACGTTTAACCAACCTAGCCACCCAGGCACCTACCTCTCTTAGGGAAATGTTCTTAACATATTGCAAGGGGTCTACATAGCTCCTGATGGCCCTCCAAAGACCGAAGAGCCTGCTTTAGAACTCTATGGAAAGTGATCATTTTCCCCAGGTCTCATCTCATTAAAATATATGTTATTAAAATATATGTTATCAAAATAAATATCCAGTTGGAAAATATTTCTACTCAAATATGTTTAGTTTTCTGCCTAAAATGGTATATGGAATGCAGACTCTTCAAGGAAGAGTTTTTAAATTATAATAGGCTAAGCAGTTTGTAAACTATTAGTAAAAGCAACAGGCAACTAGAGATACATCCTCCTGCATTTAAATTATAGGATCATAAACAGGGAGTATCTATAAGGTTATAATGTCTATAAGAATACATTAGTTTTCTGTTGCTACACAACAGATTTCTCTAAAATGTAATGCCTTAAAACAGACAACTGTCATCTCAGTTTGTAAGGATTGAGAACTTAGAAGCAGTTTATCTGGGTAATTCTGGCTCAGAATCTCTCATGAGATTATAGTCAAGATGTTGACCAGGGCTGCAGTCATCTAAAGACTTGACTAAGGCTGTATGATTTATTTTCAAGATGGCGCGCTCACTTGGCTAATGGTAGAAAGTCTCAGTCTTTTATTGGCTGTTGGCAAGAGGTCTCTGTTCCCTGCCACATAGGTCTCTACAGAGAACTGCTTCAGTAACTTCATAACATAGAAGATGGCTTCCCTCAGAAGCAGGGATCCCAGAGAGAGAGAGATCAAGCAGAAACCCACAATGCCTTTTATGACCAAGGCCTAGAAGTGACATACCATCACTTCCTTCATCTTCTACTCATTACAAGTAAGTCATTTAGTCCATACCACATTCCATGAGAGAAAAATTAAGTTCCACCTCTTGAAGGGAAGAATATTAAGTAATTTGTGGATACATTTTTAAACTACCACAAAGAATCTCTATAGAACATTAAATCTTTGTTGTACTGGTATAGAAAACTGTTCTTGGTGAGATGAAATGATTTGTCCAAGATGACAACAAATATATGACAAAGGCTAAGATTATTATTTAAGTCTTTGGACCTCCATGTTATTGATTTAAAAAAAAACTGATACGAATCCAGTTAATAAAGTTTAGTTTTTGATGTAAGGGAGAGAAACAAAAAAAGAGTAAAGGGAATACATTTTCTCACCAGAAAAGACTGATAAATTTGCCTACATAAAGATAAAAATTTTTTACATAAAAACATTACAAATTTGGGAAGAATTGGTCTTTTTAAATTTTGTAATCTATTTAGGTACAATGGTTTTTTCGTATTAAAATCATGCTCTCTGCAGAAAGTCCTCAACAAAAGCTATTGCTTGGAATGTAGATATATCCCCACAAATCAATAGTGGTGAATTTCTTAGGCTGACCTCCAAAGCCTATTTAAACTATTTAATATGAAGAATATTACCTTTGAGGGGCACCTGGGTGGCTCTGTCAGTTTTTTGCTTTTGGCTCAGGTCATGATCCCAGGGTCCTAGGATAAAGTCCTGCATCGGACTCCCTGCTCAGTGGTTATTCTGCTTCTCCCTCTCTCTTTGCCCCTCTACCCCCACCTCCCCACTCATGCACACTCTCTCTCTCTAGCTCTGCTCTCTCTCAAATAAATAAATAAAATCTTTAAAGAAAAAAAAAAGAATAGTACCTTTGAGGCAAAACAGTGCTTTTTATTTTCCTCATTTCTCCTTTCTTGTGTTCTTCTTTAGTGCAGGCTGACAAAGTCTTTGGTAAGACAGAGTAAAGAAACAGAGACTTAAATACAGCAAAGTTGTCCTAGGAGACTTGGTCCATATAAGCAAGGTAAAGGCTTTCTCGTCTTGTTTGTGTTGCACTCAGAAAACTGTGAGAGACATATGTCTTGGAAACCATAATGGCCAAATGTACTTCTAAGGTAGAGCCAGGAACAAAAGCCTATAAAATCCCTAAGAACTTCTAGGCTTCCCTCAGAGGGAGCAGGACCCTCCAGAGAGGACAGAAAGGC